GGTAGCTCTCACAAGTAGGGAGAGCTGGTTTCTCCTGTCCTGCCTTCCACCACCATTTTCTGGATGTGATATTCCAACCCTTAGGGGTGTACCTCAGCATCCAAATCTCACCAGGCAGGGCACAGAGGAGCCTTCACCTTCTGTGCTCCTACAGAATGCGGCCAGACTTTCCCTGCAATCCAACCCCATCTTTGTGTCCTCAGGCAGGTGGTTTCTCTCCAAAACCCTGGAAGTTGTTCAGGCATTGTCTCACAATGACTGAAGTTACTGACTGCACCAGCCATCAGAGCTGCCCAGGGATGATCAGCAGCTGCATTGAGCTGTCAGGAGCCAAAAATGACATGTCTGTGGATTAATGGCCCAGTCTGTCAGGATGGCATGTATTTGCTGTGTGCAGAAGATGAAACATCTACTTTCCAAAGAGCAGGATTTGCTTTACAACAGACCTCTGCATTGCCCAGAGCAGCGATATTTTTCTGTCACTGAACGTCAACAAGCTACAGTCTGGAGTAAAATATGGTTTACTACACCACTGAATTCACAGAGCTTCATATTCCTCTGTGGCAGATGTTACAAATATGCAGACAGACAGTCCTTATTGATCCAAATGGTTTGCAGAAACTCCATTTGAAAGCATATGTTTCTCTGCTCGACATTTTGACATGAATGACAAGACAAAACCAGGAATGCAAATACACAAGAAGAAACTGTTCTTGTGTTGTAAAAGCACACTCCCACTGCCAAAGAGTTGGTAAATGTTGCACAACTAATCACAGCCCAGAAAAATGTGTGAGCTGACCTAGAGGCACAGAACAGGAGGGGAAATCCAACAGCACGGACTTAAAACGGCCTGACAGGATCAGCACAGCCCAATACAACCACTGTTCCCTCCCTGTGCCAGGACCCAGCCTAACAGCAAGTCCCACCATGCAGAATCAATTAATTTCAGGAGACCTTTATGTAAAGAACGATGGCAGCATCCAGCAACTCAAGTGCTCCCCAGTCCAGGGTAGCCAGGGCACATTCATACTCCAAATACAGCACTTTAACAATTTAATTTCCAGGCCTCACCAGCCCTTTTTGATGGGCCTGCACCCTCAGCACTCCTCTCTGGAGATCTGCAGTCCCCCAGCTCCTCCCCAGGCTTGCCTCCAATTCCCTTTCCCCAGCAGCTCCCCATCCCCATGCTGCTCTGGGGCTCCCTGCTCCCACAACAGCAGGAAGGGGCTCTCTGGGATAATTGCAACCACCTCACCCCACTGAGAAAAGAGCTGGGGGCTCTACTGACACCTTACTGTATGCCAAACTGGAAGCTGAAAGCTTTTCTGAGCAAAGCACTCTCCCAAAAATTTCTCACCATTATCCAAGCTGGCCTTCCTTAGAAGCAAGTGAAACATCTCAATATGTTTTCCTGGCTGGCTCTTAAATGGCAGCTGAAATGCAGAACTATTAAATTTCAACAGCCTGTAAATGCTCTACCTGCCCACACCCAGCACTCGTTAGGAGTTTCTCCTGTCCCATTGTGTGCCCAGCAGCAGCAAACAGAGCCAACACTGCAAAGCAGCATTCCCATGTATGGGCAAACCCCACACAGGGACACATCCCCAGCAGGACACCCCTGGTCCTTCCTCTGTGGGCAGCAAGCAGGACCAAGGCCACTGGAATCCCCAGTAGTGCCCTAAGATGAAAAAGGGGCACTGTAACTATAACTACAGCCACTGTACACTGCAGCCTGTAACTACAGCAGACTGAACACAGAAACAGCTCAGTGTCTGCTTGGATTTACTTGCAATTACACATTTCAGCACTTCGGTGGGCTGGCATATTTTGCTGCTGGTAAGTATTTCATTTGACAGAATTGTTTCAATATAAGTCATATAAAAACATCAAACAAAAGCCAATTTGTTTTCTGCTGATATATAGAAAAGGCTATATAAGTCTGGAATCTCTCTGCACGGTTGTCACGGTGTGCAGACTTGTAGCTCAGTGTAGAGCCCAGTGCAGCAGAGCAGTCAAGGTCAACTTAAAACACCTGAGTAGTCCCTGGGAGTTGAAGGAGCTCACTCACCTGCTTGAAATTAGGCACATAATTAACTTGAACCGCGAACTTTATCTCCACCATCAATCCCTTTTGTTCTTTTAGCTGCAATTCTCACCTGAACTGTGGGGCTCTGCTGTATTCTACTCAACCACTTTGCAAATAATTCCATCAGAAAACAGATACACACATTTCACACGATAAAAAGAATTTTAGAAAAATACTGAAACATAGAAAAACATCCAAGATGCTTCCTTTCATGGCTGAGTGACCTTTTAGAACCAGAGTCAAAAAGCAGACTGATAATTACCTACAGCTGTAAGCAATTAACCCTCAGGCTCCATCTCCCCACCCATACAGTTTCCATTATAGCACTGTAACAAAACAGTTAAAAATTGAAACAAAATTCTTTATCTTGAAAAAACTTAGAGGCACAATGAGCTGTGCCGTGGAGTTTTCACCTAGAAATGTTTCAGGGGGTATCTACATTACAGTCACACGTAGCACATTATTCAGAAATCAGATTCTGTCCCAGCAACTCATCCAAGCATTTGAAACTTCAGCAAAAGGGGGAGAGATTTAGATTTTGGTTTTTAGTTTTTTCTTCAAGCTTTTTACTTACCTTGCTGTATGTATTTATGATTCTGAGGACTTCTCCTCCTCCTTATGTGATATAGAGGCCAAACAGACCCCCTCAAAACTACAGAGCTTTATAACTGCAACAACAGAGCTAGTAATTGAAAGATAACACATCTTTCAAAGAAAACTATCAAAAATAAATTCAAAAAAGACAAAGCAACTCTCCCATAGTTGTGCTCTACTACAACACAATGTGAAGTTGCTACCAGCATCAATTGATTTCAAAGAAAGCTATCAATTTCAATAGAGACAAAAGAAAATAATTTAAGTAGCATGCCTGAAAGTGCACAGTGAAAAAAAAATATTAGGACAAAACAAAACTCAGTAAAAAGCTACAGCTACACACATTACTTCTCTTACAGGTTACCTTGCGAGCATGGAGAACCCACGTTTTGTTCTGCTTCCCTCCAACACCAGCAGAAAGCACCATCCATATCCAGGACCACAGAGACTTGTGCAGCTCAGAGCACAAAACCCAAACTCTTCCCCACAGCCCGACAAGTGAGAGCTTTATGGGGAGCTGATTGGAGCTGATTGAGGTGATTTGTCCCAGCTGCAGCCCTAACCAGCCCCGGGAGTGGCTCCCAGCAAACAGCCCACAGCTGCTTTGGGTGAAATCACTGATTACTGCTGATTCTCCCCAGCTGAGCAACAATCAAGCCAAAAAACAGGCACGGCCAAACAAATCATTTCAAGTCTTAAATAATATAACAACTGTTTCTGGTAGAACAAATGCTGTTTTTATTTGTTTCCTAAAAATTAAGAAAAATAATAATTAGCTGAGGCAACTGCTTGTATGATGGAATTGAGGCTTCTCATACAAGTAATACAGCTTTACTAAACATGAGTTGTAACCATCCTTTTCTCCCTCCCCCTTCACCGCATGTCAGATTTTACCTTTAATTTTGCCTTTCTTCAGAGTTTTCTTCTGACTTTCTCCTTGCCTTTCCCAGGATGATGCCAAAGGATGTGGTTTCTCTGAGAAATTTCCAACAGGGTCCCCCAAATGTGTTGTGTTTAGATTTATGTCCCTCTTTAGCTGCTCACAATGTAAGTTCAAGTCAGTAAAGCAAAATAAAATAAAAGAACAAGGTCTGAATACTGTGGTTTCTGTACCACCCAACTAACATGATTTCCTCTGAATGCTCCACTTGTCACCAACCCAACAGCTTTAAGCTCAGAAGAGAGCTATTCCAAAATTTAAACAGATTTTAGGAAGAATTTTCTTTCTTTAAGCAATCCCAGCATAAACTTTAAACTATAATCCATGTTACATGCTCAAAATTGTAATAAAGTTCCTCTTTCAGGTTAATTTTTGAGACGTTTTCCTTTTCAGAGCTACCCCAGTTTATAGAAAGGAGTGCTCTTCAGCCCAATATTAAGAGCTAAACCTTCACCTGCTCAAACTCAGCATGCTTGACCCATTCCCTGGAGGGAAGCTGATTTACACAGGTGAGAACCCAGCTTTAAGTGGTTTATTCTATGAGCAGACTAAGGAAAAGTGAGTTGTTTTGCTGAGACTTCACCTACAATGCAGCAATGGCTATCAAGGCAAGGCAGATATTGGGAACTTCACTTTGCAAGACAAGTATTGCACACATGTAGCTGTAACTCAGCAGAAAAACATTCTATCAAGTTTCAACTCTGAAATTAAAAAGCACAATTACTCTTTTTTTTTCCATTGCAATAGGAAAACATAACATACTAAGAAATAAGAGCAATGCATTCTTCAGATTGAAAGCAGATTGCCCATGGATTGCAAGCAAATAGAAGAAACTGAGTCACATTTTTGTAAGAAAGAAATTTCTAAACTAATGGATTGGTAGAACAAGACAGGTTAGAAGTGCTGTGCCACAGATGTCACTTTTGTGAAAGCTCATCACCAAAAGAGCACAATAAAAGGAAGGTACATTTCATGTTCAACCACCTTTGCAGTGTAAACATTCCAGAGGAGTTGGAATATTTGGGGTCACACATTATTCCCTATTTTAAGTACACTCAGGGAAGTTCCAGTTGAAAAACCAGAGCACAGTTTGGTCTTCAAAGTTTTCAGAAACTTCTGCAGTTTTTCTACTTCAACTTGCCAGATATTAAAGGTGAAGGGTCAAACCTGCAGGTGGTGTAAATAAGCACAGCTCTGTGAGAGCTTTCACCTTATGCTCATTTACATCACATGGAAATTATATTTCTCACTTCTTCTGTGAGTAATTGCACATGTATATATATATATATATATGCATGTGTGTGGTGAATACATATTATATAGAAAGTGAATGCTTTGATCTGTCAAAAGGAAGATACAAATATAAAACAGGAGACAGGATATGAAAATCATACATTCTGCATTTACTTTCAAAACTGAAAGTTATGGGGAAAGAAACATTGTTTATGTTCAAGGAGAACCTGGTGATTTGCTTAAATAATCTAAAACCAAACCACTAGCACATGAAGGATTTAACAGCTTCCTGTCAGGGCTGACAGGCTCAACCTATGACTTGCTAACTTTTATATAAACAAATAATTTCTAGACAGTGAGAGATCCATTGCAGATTCCTAGTTTTGCAGTGTAGACCCTGGTGCAGCAAAGCACTCAAAACTTAAGGTTAACTTAAAGCAGCTGAGTACTCCCAAGTAGTTTGGCCAGCACACTCACCTGCTTAAAATTAGGCACATATTTAATTTGAGACCTGTGTTTTAACTCCACCATTAATCAGCAATGCACTTCACCTGTGCATAATGCAGGTGCACCCCGCAGGGCTCACACATGCTTAAATGCTTTTCTGAAAGAGGGCTGCGTGGTTTGATTCTTCAAGATGCTGCTCATCGTAAATGTAGTCCTGCAAAGCATTCAAACAGGTGAGTCACATCCTGTGCATGAGAATAAAGGAGCTCTGACATCATTGATATGTTAGACCACACTTCCAAACTTTACAGCACACAGCAAGAGTAAGCCAGGAGGAGAACACTGAATATGAAAAATGCTAAAGTTTATCCCCAAAATATATTGTATTCACAATTTCTTCCACAAATGCAGGTCAGTTAAAATTACAGTGCTTTAGTCTATAATATGAAAAAGATCTAACATGAAAGCAAAGATGCCTCAGTAAAAGAGGGTTTCAAGCCCCTGCTCTGGGCTTTGCTGCAGCAAGTCAGCAGCATGTTTTGTGAGTAACAGCACAGCAGCAGCTCAGGACACCTCCAGCAGGTTTGTGTGCCACAACAGATCACACCCTTGTGGCCACTCAAGCACCTCCTTGCACCTTTTCTGCAGCACGTTCCTCTGCTGCAGCTAAAATCTTAAATTGGTCACAAAATGAGAGATTTTTCCAACACAAATGCTTGCACTCTTTCTCCAAAGCATCTTTACAAATTTCTGTGTGTATATAGTCTTTTAGTGCAGCTATTTCTGCCATAACTAATTGGTGTATTTATAGAAGATATTTTTTTCCTATGGTCATAGGTTTGTTAAGACAACAAAAAGAAAAACAATATGACAAAAGAAGAAAAAAAAAATCCAAAGTTTTTGTGGGCTAAACCTCCAAATAGCATAAATCCAGTCAGCAAATAGTGCAATTTGTGCCAAGCTACAAAATTGCACCATCTTCATGAGAAACCAGCTTGACAATTGACAAATGAATCCCTCTAAGAGTACTCCTCCTGTAAGCCCATCATCAATATTCCTCATTTAAAAAGTGTTAGGCTGAATAGACTCTTCTCTTCTATAAGGCTGGGTTTATGTCACAGTTTGACTTTTCCTCCCTACTGCTTCAAGTAGAAATGTCAAAATGTGGGGACTTTAATCACCCCATAAATATACGTGTTGTGTAATTATGCAAATCAAATTAGGAGAAGTGAATGGAATGTTTATTTACCCAAAAACCTGACCCAGATTTCCTGCTGACATTCCTGGGATTGGAATGCATTTTTACCTCTGTTCAAACAATTTTTCACCCTAATGTAGATAGTGATTTTGCCGCACCAGGATCTACAGCCTTTTCCAAACAGCAGTGCTCTAATAAAGTGAAGAAATCCAACTGCAAAGGGAAATTACAATCTAGTATTAGGGATAAATTTGAGAAGACATTAAATTATCCCAATTTTGAAAGAGAGTGATGGTCCAGGAAGAGCAGGAGGGGGAACAGGGATCCATTATGTTTGGCATTTAAACTTCAGTTTGGGAAGGAAACAATGTTAGATTTTTTGGTTTGGTTTTTTCTTGTCATACGAATTGCACTGGTAATATTTGCATGACAAGACATTAAATAAGTGATATGTGTTGCTCTATCTTTGTCCTCTGTGTTTTACAGCAAAAAAAAAAAAGGCTTTGTACAGCCATTTCTACTACAATTATAGACATGGCCATTAAAATGTTTCTCTTTACAAAATCAATGGAAAAAAAGCAGAGCTGTGCTTATAGTCTTGTCATCCAGGGATATGATTTCAGCAGGGAGCATTGCATCCATTATACAACAAATTCAGGGAAATCTTAGAGAAAGAGATGGCACCAGAGGGCACAGGCACTGCAGTGCCATTATCTCCTGCCTTTATAGTTCCTCCTTGCCTCACTCCATTGGTTCCTCCCCATTTTCAGTCATGTACACAAGAAACAAAAAAGCTGAGCAGTTCTTCTTAAAAGCTTTTCCCTTAACCTAAAACCTGTTGTTCATCAAAGCATTTATATATATAATATATACGTCATAATATATATAATATATATTATATATATATGTATAACAAAACACAGAAAGTTAAATAAAAAGAGCCACACAGCACAGCAGACAGTAAAACCACAATCCAATAATCCTGTGCTTAAATTTAGAAACTGTGTGGAAGTTTAGATCCTTGTTAGAAGGAAAGTATTGTCTGTTTATTGTTTGTTGGATTTGAGTTATAATTCACCTTTAAAGCATTTTTTACTGCTATGCTAATACCAGCTGCTAAGTTCTCTGAGTGAATTGTCATCTTGGCTATAAAACAGGGTTCTGGGGAAAGGAGAAATCTGAGCATGGTGAATTTTTCTAGCAAGAAAGAGATAATTTTTTTGCTCTTAAAAATACCATACCTGTAAGGGAATAAGTGTTGAAATCCATGGGAAAAAAGAAAAGTATGGCCCTCAGTCCCAGTAACAGGTCTTCTTTGGCACTTGAGAACGACCACAAGTAGTTTGCCTTTTTATTCATATAGAACAAAATTTACAAAGTCATTCATACATTTTTGTTTGTTTTTTGTTTTGTTTTTTACTTACTTCGAAAATTGGGAATATTCAAAATACACTTTTACCCCACTTCATTCTTTCATTATTTACAAGTATATACAAGAAAAATGTAAGAGTTCATTTTCTTTTTCTTTTTTTTTTTTTTTTTTGTTTCTTTTAAATTTTGTATTAAAAATCTCTGCTGGTTGTTTGTACTGTTTGTTTTCATCATATGGATGTTCCGTGCGAGGGCTCCATCGCCTCTGGGATGACTCCCCCCGGCACGGACTGGAATGACATTGGGATCGGGGTTTTGACGGGGCTCTGCCGGAATAGTCCTCCGTTGGGTGACCTGTGTTTGCACTGTATGGAGGGCATGGTGGCTGAGCTGCTCAGGGGCAGCGGCAGGTTGCTGCCCGAGGCAGCTGTCAGTGTCCTGCTGGCACCATGAGTTGTCTGTTCTGGTAAAAAGGTGCTGACAGAAAGTTGCGTGTTCTGGTACTCGCGAACCGGCTCCAGGGTCTGGGCTGGCTGCATGCCCCCGATCTCCAGCGCCGAGATCTCGATGGACGCTGGGGAGATCTGCTTGTGGGCTATGTCTTCATCAATTAAACTGTTCATGCGTCTGTGCACCTGCTCCAGGTTCACTTCTTTGTCCTGGTGGGGAAGAAACCAGAGCAATCAGTCCAAACACAATCTCCAACCCCATCCGGCCCCCTTCCTTTCCTCTGTGGGACCACAGCTGCTGATCACTCATTACATCACTTGGATTTCAGCTGTCCCTGTGCAAAACCTTGAGGTCTGGCAACATCTCCAGATGAAAAACCTGCTGAAGAAAACACGGGCTCAATCTCAGCCTGCTGGAGCTCCTGATGTTGTCAATCCCATGCTCCTGGGAGGTGAAGTGATGGCTGGCACCAGGGACCAGCACACCCTTCACATCCTTGGCTCACCTTGCACAAGCTCAGATAAAAGCCTATAGCAGGCAAACATGACCTGGGACTCCACATTCCACTGGGCAGCTCGGCCCTTTGTCACCACATGACAGCTCAGCACTATCTCATGTATCTGCAGAGCATTTTCTAAAGAATATGTCAGTAAAAAACTCATGACTTCAGGGTACTTGCTTCATTGAAATCTGCTAGCCAGGGGTTGCAGTGATGATGAATTCCTCCCATCAGGAGGCCCTGGGTCACCTGTGTGGCACAGGATAGAAACCCACTGGAGCAGCACTGAGAGAGGCCTACTCTGGGAGCCCAGGGGAGAGAACCATGCATTTGTGTTTGGAACAGTTGCATGACAGACCATAAGCTCTCTGTCATCTTGACATGTCATCTGGAAAAGTCTATCTGTGGTCAGAGCTCAGGAAAACAGTGCTGGTCTTTAGGAAATGCATCACCATCTTCTGAGAATGTGTTTCCTAAGGTTCACAGAGTGGTCTCCTCATCTGTCAGAACCACTCACTTAACACACTTTAGCTCTTATGAGGAAACACAGCAAAAGGAATTGTCTTTAAATCCTGAGGTAGCAAAGACCTACAGTGGGCTGTTTATCACCTCAGTACTGCATTCAAGATGCTCAAACTGGGAAGCAACAAAATAGGCAGGGTGAAGTCAACCACCTGGGATGCTGTCTGACTAAATTTTAACAGCTAGCATTGTACTGCCAATAAAAAGGTATTAGATTATATAATTTCTCTACATTTCATAAAGCACAGCTATGATTGCAGTTTAGTTATTTGATGCAAGTGTAACACACAGCAGAATAGCAGCAAAGTGTAACAGCCCAACAACCCTGGAACTGGAGAAATTCCCTAGTCCAACACAAACCTGTAATTACATTACTCACACAGCAAGGCTCCAACCTAGGGAGCAGGACTACCCAAAACTTTTGTGTTCCAGTAATTCCTGACTGCCCAAGGAAAACCTGGGCTTAAATGTTGGTTTAACACAATACCACCAGCCTTACTGATTCATAGCAAGATGCAGGCTCAGGGAATGAAGTGCTAAGTGTCACTGCCACTCACTCCTTTTAATATTTCATCACTGGTGTTCAGGTGGAGCACAGAGAATTACAATCTTATTCCAGTGGTATCCTCTGCTATGCAACTTTGCTTTCCCCTGTAAATTGACAAGCCAACTCCAAAGTCCTTGATTCCAGTCAATGTCAGCTACAGATTCAATTGTAACCCTGTGATTTAACACCCCTTCTACATTACTCAAGAACCATTGAATTTGCTGATCCCTGCATGGGTTTGGAAATGAATTAGTGTTACATGATGTACAGTTCAAACCTGTGTCTTTAGCTTAGGCTAAATCCATATTGATTTCAACTGGAATACAATTGCTCCACAATTACAGGGCTGAGCTGCATGTTGCAAATTCTTTGCTAATCAGTGGAAAATTAATTCCTATTTAATTTATGTCATAAACTCACCAAAATCCCCATGAACCTTCCAGAAACCTGGGGATATAATCTTCCTCACCAAAGAAACAACTTTTTAAAAATCCTGCTTTTTCAGCCAAATCCTCTAATCGGATAATTTTGAGTTAGAGAAAAATCAATGGATAATAAAATAAAAAATAAACTTTTTTGACATGAAGGGATCACACAACACTTGATCAGATAACCCCTGCAGCTCTATAAAGTCTTTTCTGACAACAAACACGCCTGCCCTGTCAGGCCCTTCATTCAATACATTAGACAATTCACTAAGCTGATGATAACTCAGACACTCTTCCCTAAACTCTAAGGAAGGAAACATAAGGATTTATGGTACAGTGGCCAGAGGATTACACGGATTTAATTCACAATTTCCTCAGTTCCTTTTTCTTGAACTAAAATTGTAGACCTGGAGCAAACATGAGAAAAGCTCTTCCATTATTCCCAATGGGAGTAAGCTCAACCTCTCTGGGTGGGTTCCTTTGGAACAGATGTCCAACCACTCACTGCTTTATTTTCCTCACCTGTTTGCCAACTAAAGCTTGCTGCAAAGTTCTGCTTGTGCACAAACTGCAGCTAGCACCACGTATTATGATGCTGAGCCTAAGGAGCTAACTCCCATTATGCAATGCCTCCTTAGGTACCCTGTACTATTTCTTTTCTAAACGCTGCTGCTAGCTGGGATGTTGACTCCTAGCTGGCATTCTGGGTATCAGGGAATCATATTCTTATAAAGCCTCCACTACAAAATAAGAAAACAAAAGAGAACTCAGGTTAGAACTGAGCAAATATTAGAGCAAATATTCCTAAATAAGGCTTTGGCGAAATGCTCATGACTCATTTACATTTTTCTGAGGTTTTGCCAAATACTAATGCCTTCTTCAGATCATTTCAAGTGAAAATATACACCATGTTTTAATTATATTTTAATTTTTTTTTTTTAATTGCAAGTACATCCTAAGTGTATTCATCCTGCTTTGCTAGTAGAACAAGTAAAATGAGACTTGGACAAAGCCAACCCAGAGGGAAAGGTAAGGTTTCAATAATTGCAACAAGCAGTCATTAATTGTTTGCAGAGCAAAAATTAAATTCATGAATGAAGCAGGATCTTCATTTGGAGCATCTGGGCACAGAAGGTCATAAAATTCAAAGCATGAATTAATCTTGAATAATTGAATTAATATTTAGCTGAGCCCTTTTAGATGTAAACATGAAGAGCCACAGCTTGGATGCTTTTAATACACATCTCTGGGTCCAGACCATAGGGATCATTAAGGAGCATTCCACACCTTTTGGGATGTTCCCCTCTCCTGGCCTGACAGGCCTTTTCTTCCTCAGCATTCCTCAGGAAATAGTGGTTTTGAAGTTGCTTATGTTTCACAATACAAACTCATGTTTCACTGTGCTAAAAATTTCATTCTCAATAAAGATTAAAACCAGTTCCTGCACATAGACACCCCATTCTATCTACACCAGAACACTTTGTGAAGTACATAGAGAAGGAAATACTTGGGATGTCTTTAAGAGGTAGGGGTGATGATTTCACTTGCCTACTTCTCTTTCTTCAGCATTAAGGACAACTTGCTGGCCTTATAAAGATCAAAGAAAAGTTTTTAAAGGCTTTCAACAGAACAGGAATTCACATTATTCCCTCTTTTCCTTGTCAAAATAAAATGTTTGCAAAGGTTATGGAAAACAACTTGTCTCTGAGGAATTATAAAATCGCATTTTTAAAGGTTCTTTCCTTTTTCTTTGTCTTATTAGAAAAGAGCAGCTAAATAACTAAATGTCAAGGTTTGTATGAGACTATCTTAATGGTGAATGAATGATTCTTCAAATCCTTTTAAAAAACCCAAGATTAAATTCAGAAACCCTTGAAAAGATTAGTTTGTCATTGCACACCATAAAACTGCTTTGAATCCAAGATTTCCAGAAGCAGAGGTTTTGGGATAGCATTATGTGACGAGTCAACATTTCAGACTCTGTAAATTCCATAAACCTAATCTTTTTTTTCCCCTTTATTTTTCAACTGGGAAATTCAGTAACATAGCATATGTTACTGAAAACTAACAAGCTAAATGGAGAAGGGTTTAAATGGCAATAAAGCCAGAAAACAAAATCTTAAAAGTTATTATGTTTTATCCATTTTCAGCTCCATGTTCTCCTTTAATTGTAGTTCTGTGTTTCTCATTAAATATCAGTAATTTGTAAAAAATTTATTTATTGCACTTAATGTATAAAATTGAATTAATATTATAAATATGTCACATCTCATACATTTCACATCAATTCAACTTCACTTCTCATCTATGGCTGTGTTGGACACAAGTATATGTTTATGTTGCCAAGAGAAGATAAAATAGTTTTTCCTTTACTGTCTTCATAATTCTATATTCAATATTAATGTTGTACTCCAAATAGATCAGTTGAAGAAATTAATCAGTGAAGGAATGAAATGTGTAAGGAAAATTAGTTATATACCCAGGCTTATCCCCTGCAGCTTAAGGAAAACAGCAAAACAACCATTGCTCCTGGTCAGGAAATTCTGTTATGCCTAAATACCAAATGAAATGTCAACGTCCCCCAGTGAGTTTGAGTTCTGGAAGGGCCTTAGAAGGGCAGGTTTCTGACATGTCCCAAGCATTTGATTATGAGCAACAGGTTCAATGGCCTGTGACTGACAGCAGGAGCACACCCTGGCTTGGAGTGATCTGGAGGACTCTCACCAGAATTACCTGGGAATGACTAAACCTGCATGGTCACACCTGCAGGAAACTCTGACTCCCTTTGAGGACTAACCAGGTCTGCTCTTTTCACACCGAGTGAAATTATGACAAGATAATGCAGACACCATCATTTAAAGAGTAATCTTTTTTTTTTTTTTTTTTCCTGGCTTATTTTCTGTGACTCTTGACAGTTGGTTCTAATAAAGCCTGTGAGCAGTCATACTGAAAGAATATGGTACCGATTGGGAGGTTTGGAGTCAGTTAATGTGATCACATTCAAGGGTGCTGGAATGGAGCTACTGGCTGATGTTTTTGAGAAACTGACTACATCCCTCTAAATACAATTAATTAAAAGTTAATGCTGCTTAGCTTACTGGCTTGCAACACTTGGGATCTTCCAAGGACAAATTTTTTGAGAAAAATATTTTAATTAAAGACACCATTGTGGTGTCTGGTTTTTTACTTGTGATTTCTGTGTGCTTATCACAG